CGAGGTGCCACCCCTGGTGTCCCCAACCCTCCATGAGCCACCATTTTGCACCTTGTCACCCTCATCCCACGGTGTCACCATCCCCAACGTGTCCCCACGGTGTCCCCACCCCATCCCCATTGTCCCCAAGGGTCCCCTTGTCCCCAAAGTGCCACCCCCCCCATGTCCCCAAGTGTCCCCTCACTCACCAGGGGGGTGCAGGAGAAATGGTCCACGTTGAGGGGGTCGACCTCCTGCTCCAGCTCCAGGCTGTCGGCTGCCAGCGCCCTGTGGGGACAGCGGTGTCACCTCCCCCCTTGGGACACACCTGGGGGTCACCTCCCCCCTTGGGGACACACCAGGGGGTCACCTCCCCCCTTGGGGACACGGCCCAGGGGTCACCTCCCCCATCCCTGTCCCACCCTGGCCCCAAAGTGCCTCCAACTCACCCCCAAAGTGTCCTTGAAGTGTCCCCAGGCCCACGGGTCACCTCCCCCATCCCTGTCCCACCCTGGCCCCAAAGTGCCTCCAACTCACCCCCAAAGTGTCCTTGAGGTGTCCCCAAGTGCCCCCAGTTGTCCCCAAGGTGTCCCCAAGGTGTCCTTTGATGTCCCCAAGTGTCCCCAAGGTGTCCCTGCTCACCGCCAGCACCGCACGGCCTCCACCCTGTCCCCAAGGTGTCCCCAACTCACCCCCAAGGTGTCCCCAGTTGTCCCCAAACTGTCCTAAAGCATCCCTTGATGTCCCCAAGTGTCTCTTGATGTCCCCAAGGTGTCCCAAAGTGTCCCCAGTTGTCCCCAAACTGTCCCAAAGCATCCCTTGATGTCCCCAAGTGTCTCTTGATGCCCCCAAGGTGTCCCAAAACTGTCCACAAGTGCCCCTTGATGCCCCCAAGGTGTCCCAAAGTGTCCCTTGATGTCCCCAAGGTGTCCCCAAGGTGTCCCCAAACTGTCCCCAAGTGTCCCTTGATATCCCCAAACTGTCCCCAAGTGTCCCTTGATGTCCCCAAGGTGTCCCCAATGTGTCCCTTGATGTCCCCAAGTGTCCCTTGATGTCCCCAAATTGTCCCCAAGTGTCCCTTGATGTCCCCAAACTGTCCCAAAGTGTCCCTTGATGTCCCCAAGGTGTCCCCACTCACTGCCAGCATCGCACGGCCTCCTCCCTGTCCCCATCCCTCTCTCCAAGGTGTCCCCAAACTGTCCCCAGGCATCCCTTGATGTCCCCAAGGTGTCCCCGCTCACCGCCAGCACCCCAGGGCCTCCACCCTGTCTCCATCCCTCTCCCCAGGTGTCCCCAAAGTGTCCCTTGATGTCCCCAAGGTGTCCCTGCTCCCCACCAGCGCCGCAGGGCCTCCCCCCTGTCCTCAAGGTGTCCCCAAGGTGTCCCTGCTCCCCACCAGCGCCGCAGGGCCTCCCCCCTGTCCTCAAGGTGTCCCCAAGGTGTCCCTGCTCCCCACCAGCGCCGCAGGGCCTCCCCCCTGTCCTCAAGGTGTCCCCAAGGTGTCCCAAAGCATCCCTTAATCTCCCCAAGGTGTCCCAAAGCATCCCTTGATGTCCCCAAGTGTCCCCAAGGTGTCCCTGCTCACCACCAGCGCCGCAGGGCCTCCACCCTGTCCTCAAGGTGTCCCCAAGGTGTCCCAAAGCATCCCTTGATGTCCCCAAGTGTCTCTCGATGTCCCCAAGTGTCCCAAAGCATCCCTTGATCTCCCCAAGGTGTCCCAAACTGTCCCAAAGTGTCCCTTGATGTCCCCAAGATGTCCCTTGATGTCCCCAAGCGTCCCTTGATGTCCCCAAGGTGTCTCCAAGGTGTCCCAAACTGTCCCCAAGTGTCCCTTGATGTCCCCAAGGTGTCCCCACTCACTACCAGCATCACACGGCCTCCACCCTATCCCCATCCCTCTCCCCATGGTGTCCCCAAAGTGTCCCTTGATGTCCCCAAGATGACCCCAAGGTGTCCCAAGGTGTTCCTTGATGTCCCCAAGGTGTCCCCACTCACTGCCAGCATCACACGGCCTCCACCCTATCCCCATCCCTCTCCCCATGGTGTCCCCAAAGTGTCCCTTGATGTCCCCAAACTGTCCCCAAGTATCCCTTGATATCCCCAAGGTGTCCCCAAGGGTCCCTTGATGTCCCCAAGTGTCCCTTGATGTCCCCAAGGTGTCCTCGCTCACCACCAGCACCACAGGGCCTCCACCCTGTCCCCATCCCTCTCCCCAAGGCGTCCCCAAACTGTCCCTAAGGTGTCCCTTGATGTCCCCAAACTGTCCCCAAGTACCCCTTGATATCCCCAAGGTGTCCCCAAGGGTCCCTTGATGTCCCCAAGTGTCCCTTGATGTCCCCAAGGTGTCCCCACTCACTACCAGCATCACACGGCCTCCACCCTATCCCCATCCCGCTCCCCATGGTGTCCCCAAAGTGTCCCTTGATGTCCCCAAGGTGTCCTCGCTCACCACCAGCACCACAGGGCCTCCACCCTGTCCCCATCCCTCTCCCCAAGGTGTCCCCAAACTGTCCCTAAGGTGTCCCTTGATGTCCCCAAACTGTCCCAAAGTGTCCCTTGATGTCCCCAAGGTGTCCCCACTCACCACCAGCACCACAGGGCCTCCACCCTGTCCCCATCCCTCTCCCCAGGGTGTCCCCAACTCACCCCCAAGGTGTCCCCAGTTGTCCCCAAACTGTCCCCAAGCATCCCTTGATGTCCCCAAGTGTCTCTTGATGTCCCCAAGGTGTCCCAACTTGTCCTCAAGTGTCCCTTGATGTCCCCAAGGTGTCCCAAACTGTCCCCAAGTGTCCCTTGATGTCCCCAAGGTGTCCCCAAGATGACCCCAAGTGTCCCCTGATGTCCCCAAACTGTCCCCAAGGGTCCCTTGATGTCCCCAAGGCGTCCCCGCTCACCTCCAGCGCCGCAGGGCCTCCACCAGCCGCGCGTAGCCCTGGGCGGCCGCCAGGTGCAGCAGCGTCATCCCGCGGAAGGTGGCCCCGTGGGCCAGCGCCGTCCTCGTCCCCAGCGTTGTCCCCAAGGAGGGGGAGGACGTCGTCCCCAACGATGGCCCCGTCCAGCCCGGCCGTGCCATCAGGGCCTCGCAGACGGCCACCACCCGCGCCTCGAAGGAGCCGGGTCCCTGGCCCCATGGGGACAGCAGGGGACAGCGGGGTCACCGGGGGGGTATGGGGGTGGCAGGGGAC